AACTCCCAAGGCTCCCACAACAGCACCTTCCAAACACGTGATCTCTATCACCTAGAAGGACCAAGGCAGCAGATAAATGAAAACACCACCAACTGTAAGTTCTCCTCCAAGCAACACATCATTCTGATTTCGAACTATACTTCTGTCTGGGTCAAAATTCTGGAACTGCCTTCCTATGTACACTGTGAGTGTACTTACTTTTCAGGAACTTGCAGCAGTCCAAGAAGGCAGCTCATGGCCATCTCCTCAAGGGGAATTAGAGACAGGTAATACATTTAGCGTAACCAGTAACATCCACATCCAATGAACAAATAAATTCTCATTCACTTTCTGGACTCCCAGAATTTGCTGATTTTACAGTAGATTTATACCGGTGACAGTTTCTCTTTCTGCCTCTAATCCTATCATCTCGCATATACTCCAGAGTTCACGTCACTTGAGAATGATCTGTCTGGAGAATCTTGACATTGTCCACTGTGGTTCAGTAAGTAGTATTATTCCTTCTGACTTACAGTTCTGGGTTCAATCTGCATTCTTGGGCATAAGTGCAAAAATTTAAATAGATGCTCCAATGCAGTGTGGAACCATTGGTGATGTTGATTTTTTAAAATGTGATTGTAAAACAGAAGCCTCTCCTGCTTGCTCAGGTATCTGTGAAAGATCCCAGTATGCTATTCTGAAAAAATGGTTGGGACTTATCCCTGGTCCACTGGTTAATACGTATCCCTCAACCAAAAGCACAGGTATTTGGTTTCAATCACATCACAGTTTGTGGGAGCCTGATGAGCATAAATGAGTTGCCATTGTTTCCACAACAGGTGAACACTTCAAAAGTATTTCATTGACTGTAAAATGCTTTGGGACATTTAGTAGTTGTGAAAAGCACTATATAAATGGAAGCCTTTCTTTTAGCCTGGACCAGAAGGGATGAGCTTAAACACAGAACTACCAACCTAGCTGCGATCAGTTAAACAAGTTTGGACCAAGAATCAAATCAGACAATTTGCTTGTCTGTAAGCCCAGATGAACTAGTGGTGTTGTGGTGAAATGATGTGTTTCCAACAAAACCAACACGTAATCTGCCACGTGAGGATATTAATAAAGTGGACCCAGGGGTCAAAAAGAAGAATCTTCTCAAAACCTTAAGATTGAGAAGTTGTAATATTATATGTTTGGCCTGCATATGAAATAGAAAAGGAAACATGGCACAGTGGGGTGAAGAAGACACAGAACGAAGTCAGAGAACAAACCATATTGTCAAATAACCATCAAATTTCACATTTGATATATTTCTTCATAGAATATAAATGTAAGAAATAAAAGTTAGAGTATACAGTCATTTTGTAATACATCACTTGAGTATTGCTAAGAAAAGACACATTTTGTTGAAGAGTATTGTCTAGAATCATCAGGACAATTCACAACAATAACAATGTAAAGGGAAAACAACATTTATACTGTATGGCAGGACACAGCCAATTGGTTAGTAACTGGGCTCTGTTTGGTAGGGATTTTGCCCTGAGAAGTAAATCAGAGAATGGTTGTCACCTATTTTGTTGAGTTGAAACAAGCACAGTGTGTATACATTATTTATGTTATGCATTTTCTGGAATGTGCAAGTAGACTGTGAGCCCAACTGACAATCTTAAATTGGTTGTCAGTATCATTCTGTGGACACTTAAGGATTATTTTGTAAAATACTTTTGGTCCTGAAAAGTGCCCAGTCTATCTCAAGTCACCCTAGAAGGGTAAGATATCTCAAACATTTGAACAACAGTTGAAGCTAACTATTTCATACTGCTGCTATGTAGTAGCAACAGAAGTGATGTTTCCCAATAATGGAGTTCTGGTGTCAAGCCAAAAACATGTTTTGCCTATCACACAAATGAGTAATGTGGTATATGAATTTCAGTGCCAGTGTGATGTTAAGTCTGGGCCTTACATGCAGAAGACCAGCAGAAAGTATCAAACAAAATATCCCTTCAAACCGTTTGCAACAAACAAGGTAGCAACTGTACCCAACCAGCCGATGCGTGTGAACCTCAAATTAAATGTGATTCCATAATTGGGCAGTGTTTGATCAATAATCCAGAATATATGAAGAATTATACTAAAAACACATTTAAGATTGTCCGTGAGGCTTGCAGTGTGGTGCACTTGCATGCAGTGGAAGCTAAATATTAATATGTAGGGCCCTGTTCTTTGCAGACAGAAAGGAATGTACACATATTGCACCTGTTTCAACTCCATGAATGGTCGTTCTCTGGTTCATTTCCCAGGGCAGTACTTTTACCATTCAGAGTTAACCTGCCTGGTTTAATACTTAAACAAAGCTTAATTGTCAGCCATCATCTAACTGAGGCATTCTCCATGGCAATAATCTCTCAGAGTCCATATCCATCAACCAGCACTCTCCTTCCATACTGTATAAGGACTGTCTTCCCCTTTTATTTGCATATTTTCCTGATGAGTTCAAGATGAAAAGCTTTGTGCCTTACTTCGGCTATACTCAAGCAGAGTATATGATGTGTGCAAATTTAAGGAGCACTGATAGTACTTTAAATACAAATACACAATTAAACAATAAACAAAGGCTCATAAAATACATAGACTATATAAAAAATTCTTGCATTTTATATTCCCAATCTATTTCATTTGTTCAATTTACATATTTTAGAAAGGATTGGCTGCTGAGCTTTGGAAGGACTCATCACCCAAAGTACCTCCATAGGATCACACTCAGCTATTGAAGAAGTGAACATTAATGAACAGCTACTACAAACCGATCCTCAAAGTACTGAAGGGAGCTCTCACAGCATGTAATCCAGAACTGGGAGGATGAGGGCTATTTATTTCTTATCAGTGCTTAACAAAGGAATTGTAGCACCAATCTGCAAAAAGCAACATTGTGTGTCATAAAGAAACACAGATATGGAACAGCACATAAGGCTTCTTTGGTCCATTGTGCCTTTGCCGGTTCTTCGAAATAACTTTCCAATTGGTCTCACTGTCCTGCTCTTTTGTTGTTACTGCGCATTTAGGTGTTACCAGACTGCGCAGAGCGCAGATGTTTTTAATGACCTTATAAAGAAGGAGCATGATCTTCTTTAGTGAACTATTAGTGCATGCTGGAAATAGTGGCTGACTATGCCTTGAGGTTTTTTTTTGACAGAATTTCTGCATTAGTAAGAGATGTCCCTTTGGAGGATCCTGCCACAGATGTGAAGTCCTGTGCAAGCTCAACAGCACACTGTGAGATCTGGATTCCCAGACCTCCTATCCCATCTGGAGCTATGATTGCTCACCCCTCACCAGGCACCTCATCATCATCCTCCCTTTCCTCCTCTGAGGCAGTGATGGGTTTTGGGTGCGAGTCTGAGGAACTGGATATGGAGGAATCATCGCAGTAACATGAAAGAGTATTTTCACTAACTGGCCATCCAGGAACTCCAGATTTTTTTTAGAATGACTGTTTCAGAAGAGAATCAAAAAAATTATTTTCTTCAAGCACAACAACTGTGTATAGACAAAGGACATAATAATGTGAATGATTGCAAGACATTCTAGATATTAAACAAGGCATGAACCTCATTGCAATATTATTCTTTGTAATTATATGTAGGAACACGAAGGAAATGATGGTTTCCTCCGCAGAACATTAAAACATTTTGCGAGCATTTTCATAGCCACTGTTTTAAAAGGCATATTGTCCCTCTTACTAAATAATCATATTTCTTAAAACTGTGAATAATTATAATCATTGACATGCATTTTGTTGTTGCCTTATTTAGAGTCCTGCACAAATTTTAGTGCTGTAGAAATGTTGTTTATGTTTCAGAATATTACAGCCAAAGATTTTTAAATGGCTTCTGCTATGGCAATGTTGCTTCCCTGCCAAGCATAATATATTTGATAATTATGCCCTAACTTAATTTAAGACTTGGTGGTACTTCATTAAAAAATGTTCTTGTGTATAGTTACTTTTTCTTTAAATATTATTGTCTCTTACCATAAGCAAATAATAATAATAATAGCTATGGTTATTTTCACTAATTGCATTGATAAAATTAATTAAGTTTATTTATTGATCAAATGGATGTTGTAACTCACTACTGCTGGTGAGTTAAAATGTTTTTCACTGGAGATGCAATGGTTCTTATTATCAAATCTACTTACTTACTGCTATGAAGAAAAGTCCAAAATTTATTAGATCTGTGGAGCTCTAAGGCCTTCCCGTGTTCGAAAATTCTTCAAAATTCTTAAGGTTAGTATTCCTAAACTGAGAGAATGCAACCTGCTCACAGGCATTTGCTATTAGTGCTGTCTAACAGGAGAGGCCAATATCTGTTGTATCCCATAAATCAAGACTATTTTAAAACATCTTGTTAATTTCAATGTGCAATACCTATTTGCGATTAATTCAATTCGAACAATAGAAACAAAATAGCATCCTTTCAATGTTAATCTATTGATCCAAACCGAACTCAGAATGACAAGAATGAAGCTTAAATGTCCATAGGGCTTCCCTTGATTCTCTGGTTTGTGATTAACATAAACACAATCAAAACACGGTAAACAATATTTACTCTGGGGCTTTAGTGGAATTTTTGCTTAAATAACAGAAGATGACCTGGAGAATCTCTGTAGAAATTAACAGTAAGGGTATATCTCTTGATCTCTTGTGAGCCAACAGATATGAAACTTAACTCTGGCATTCTCAGTTCATCTCATTGCAGGCATGAGTTCTTAGTGCAAAACATCCTGTTCTTTCGAAGTAATTTGTCTATGACTGAAAGAAAGCACAAAAATGCACTGGCACTGAAAAAAAGACGCTGCTGCTATAGTAGAGTCTTGTTCTGAGCTTCGTAATGCACCAAGTGATATATTGATGAATTAATCACCAATGAAGTCAGCATCCTGCATTTCAAAAGATTGTCAAAAAATTTAATTACAGAAAAGAAAGCATTGCACACACTTTCTCAAATTTGAAGAACTCTTACCTGCCACTCCGCCAGCCAACCACACACAAAATAGATTGGGTGCTTTGCTCCCCTCGGGTGTCATCCAGTCACACAGCAACATGTAAGGAACAAAGTATAAACAATATCCTGGAACATCTCTGAGGTACATGGCTCCGACACCTCGATAGAGTCCAACAATGCCTTCAGTCCGCAGTATTCTGCTAATGCAGTGCACAGGCCCCCTGTATAGAGGCTGAGCATTCAGTGCAAGGGAGTGCATGGCACTCGCACCAACCAAGTTTAGTTTAGCTGTAGAAGTGTAAAAAAGATTTAGCAAATATTGAACGTAGCTAATGTTCCGAAACAAATCAGTTTTGTTTAAACCATAAAAGTGAAAAGCTTCATGACATCGCAGAATGAGAAAGAACAACTAAATGAAATCAAGATGTAAAAACATTGCGCCCATGACAACATTCCACCAACTCTATTTATCACCATGAAATGATTGAAAATATTTAACGTAAGGATAGCCTGGTTCCTTGGAACTATAACTATGCACATTGAGGAAAGTTAGAAGAGATTTTAAGGACACATGTGGGAATCAGTAGTGGAACTTGGCCTTAAGTTGATGGCATTGAGATAAGTAAAACAGGGGCTGGAAAGGCCACCCTAAGCAATTGAATCACAACTCAAAGGCAAAGGAATCACAAAAGGTGATGCATATGGAACACCACGGGATTTATGTCTTGCTTGCAAAAGTGCTAGCATGGGTGCGCTATGTGTTCATGTCAGCATGAAAAGGGGGAAAATCATGATGCTACTTAGTGTGAAATGCACATTTGTTACCTGATCTAACATTCCACACATTGCAGCATCTGCTCACACTCAAAGCATTTGCAACTAACAATTCATCTCCCAGCCAGAAGCAGTGCTGAAGCAGCCACATTTCTCCAAGAATGTAGTCACTGAACTCAAAAATTCTCAACTAAGCTCATCAGCTTGGAATGCCCTGCTGGATTTCTGCTCTGAGGTTGGTACCCCAGTATTAGATGAAATTCTGTGTCTCAGTGCCACGATGCATTGATGTGAGATGCTTGATATGATTTTAGAAACATTGGGAAGTAGTGGCCAATGTGCATGCTTCCAGCTGTTCAATTAAGAACAACAGAAATGCTCCTAAGGCTGGAAGGCCAGAGAGTGTGGCCCATTGTCAGGGATGGATGCTATGGGTGCAGATAAGAGATGGAGAGAGAACAACTCAAATTAAAGATGTCCTCTTAAAACCCAGAGGCTTTCTGCAGGTAAAAACTGGTCACAGTTGCCAGGGTGCCATTGTGGCAGAGGAACCCCTTCATCAGGTGGCCTGTGGCCACATCTGTAGCTGTGTATAAGCTGTGGCTGTAGATTAAAAAACCGGGATGGTTCTGTGGTCCACTTTGTGAAGTTATATTTTAAGTCTTATATAACAGGCCCTTATTTCTGGGGTAATATTTCTGGGGTAATAATTCTGGGGTAACCCAGAAAAACTGAATGCAGGAACGAGTATTCAGATTCTTAAAGGCAAAAGATACTTAGTTCAGAAGTGCAGCATGTTTGAACTCCAACTAGACATCGTTAAGTTTTATATTTAAAAAAAAAGGCAAATATGACTCAGCAGCAGGAGTTGGCCACCAGTCCTTCAGGTCTACTCCATCATTCAATAAGATCATTGCTGATCTTGTTATGGTCTCAGCTCTATTTTGTTACCTAAACTTTACTGCATCATCTATCAAAAATTTAATTCAGCCTCAAATAATTTCAATGATACAGCTTCCATTACTGTCCGAGGAAGAAAATTACACTTACTAACAAGCCTCAAACTCTATCTTAACTCAACTCTATCTTAAGCACTTAAACTGTGACTCCACAAGAAACAACCTCTTGATATCCACTCTATCACCTCTAGTTCTTCTAAGCTGCAGGGATATTGGTCCAAACTGGTCAACCTTACTTCATCACAGGGCTTGTTACCTTTATATTACATCTTAAGCATATGTTTGAATGCATATGTTGGATTTTTCATTAATCTTGGATACTTGATATTCGAAGTACAAGAAGCTCACTGACTTTCGAAATGATGAATAAGTCTTCTTTCAGGTTAAGAGAAAAAAAATGTTAAGAGATGTTGAGATTTTAAGCAAGTATAGAAATGGGGGTAAGGTGGGGAAAGTGTTTAGAAAACTGTGTCTGTGTGGGTTTCCTCCCAGTCCAAAGATGTGCAGGCTAGGTGGATTGGCCATGCTAAATTGCCCGTAGTGTTCAGGGATGTGTAGATTAGGCGGGTGGGATGTCTGAGGGTCAGTGTGGACTTGTTGGGCCAAAGGGACTGTTTCCACACTGTAGGGATTGATTGATTGGTTGATTGAAAACTGGAGAAAGAAAGGAAAAAAAGTTGATAGTGCAAGGCAATGGGTAATGATAGTTGGTTAAGTAAAGAATTTTTTAGAAAATGGTTTTAGAGGTGTAAATGACAATAACAGAAACATCAGAGAGCTGTCTTCTGACATACAGGAACATGTTAAGATCTGAAATTGTTAAACTGAATGTTCAGTTTGACAGGTTGAAGAGTTCCTAATCGAAAGATGGAAATGCTGTTTCTGAACTTAACTCCGGCTTTAATAGAACAGTGTAGGAGACCATAGACAAAGAGGTCGAAGTGGAAATGTGGTTGAGAATGACAGGTGACTTGATACTCAGGATTATGCATGTGCTCCCTAAGGTGGTCACTCAATCTACATTTGGTCTCCCCAGTATACAGGAAGCCCCAGCGTGAACAGCAAACATAGTGAATTAAATGCAAAGAAGAGTAAGTAAATCACTGTTTCACCTGGCAGGAGTGCTGTGAAGCCTGAATGGTAGAAAGGGAGAAAGTAAAAGGGCAGATGTTGCATCTCCTCGGTGTCATGGGCCAAGGAGGAAGTGCTGTGAGTGATTTAGGAATAGCTGAAGCATTTGTGGAGGGTACACTCTCTTTGGAACAATGAATGGAAGGATATATTTGGAGATGGCACAATGCTAAAAGTGTCAGACATGGGTGATCCATTCAATATGCGGGCTGGTGACATGAAAGCTGAACCTTATTGAGAGTCTGGAAGGGAAGGGTTGAGAACAGATCTATGCTCCATGTAAGCTACTCGGGTGCATGGACTGGGACAGAAAACCAGCACACATCCCATGATCTTCTGTGCATTACACGGCCACAAAGCCCAGGCCCTACTGGTTGGCGCTGAGCAGTTAGCACTCAAACAGCTGCTTGGATGGCATTGGAGCTCCAGCTCATGACCAACAAACGCAAGTCCTGTTGCAGGGATGCCACATGGGGTTGGCTTATGCAAGGGCAAGAGGCCAGGCCACAGCTCAAAAGCCTCTAGAAATGGAGGCTCCTGGGTAGTTCACAGTCTGCAGCAACCAGGAGCACCAGACAGCACAAGGTCCAGGAAGCAGGCAACCATTCCAGAAACGCTTAATGCAATAGCAAGTTACAGTACTTTTTGATACTTTAAAACTTTGCTGACTTAGTAAGTTTAAAATATGGCTAAAACTAAAGCAAAGGAGTCTTCAAGCTTCTTAGAAAGAAATTCTGTGCATGTTTCAAAAAGAAATGGTTTTCCAAGATCATTAAAAATAGAAATATTTTCAACATGCAAACTGAAGGTACGAAACAATGAGATTTTCACATCATCAAACTGGTGATTTCCTATGCACTGTTTGCACTACAGCAAAAACTAGAGGTGAGGTCAGCACTGAGTAAAAGCCGCATTTCAGTCTGGTGGTTCTGGAAGCTCTCGACATTGACATATGCATACGAAGATACGGATTCAGTGCAAAAGTAAGATAGTTGGAACCTAAACCTTCTATGCTACTGAACAGGATCACTACTGATGTAATTACTTCACATCCTTGCCTACTGCAACACTGCATCATCCTATCTCTTCAAGAATCTATTCACCTCCAAGTTAATAAATATTCAAAGACAACTTCCACTACATTTTAAAGAAGACAGTTCTAAATATTCACGACTCTCTGTAAGAAACACAGTTTTCCATCTCAGTCTTAAATGGAATGATTCCTATTATAAACTGTGACCCCCTAGTTCCTAATTTTCCAGCATGTGGAAACATCCTTTCCACAACCACCCTATCAAGACCCTTCAGGATCTTGTGTGTTTTAATCAGTTACTTCTTATTCTTCTGAACTCCAGTGGGTACCAGCCGAGCCTGTCCAACTTTTCCTCATAATACAACACATCCATTCCATGAACTGGTCTCATAAACTGTCTCTTAAATATTTCCAATGCATTTACAACACTCCTTAAATTAGGAGACCAATACATTACATCGTACACCAAGTGTGGTCTCACAATTACCTGCATAATTGAAGTATGACCTCCCTAGTTTTGTATTCAAATATTCTCACATTAAGTAATAACATTCTATCAGGTTTCCTAATTATTGCTGAACCTATAAAATAATATTTTGTGATTCATGTTGCTGCACTTCAAAACTCTATTCTCTCGTCATTTAAGAATTTTTAAAAAATATTATCTTCTACCAAATTGGACTGTTGCACATTCTCCCACTTAATTACTCACTGTTCTGAAGGGTCACAGACCCCAAAATGTTAACTCTTTGATATCTCTTCACAGATGCTGCCTGACCTGCTGAGCTTTTCCAGCAATCTCCATTTTTGTATCTTCCCTATCATAACTGTTAAGCTAACTGCACTATAGTTTTCCGCTTTCTATCTCCCTCCCTTTTTCAATAAAGGAGCTATGTTTGCTATTTTAAATTCCAATCGAACTTTCCTAAATCTAGAAAACTTTGGAAAACTAACATCGATATGTCAACTATTCCATTAGCCATTTCTTTTAAGAACATCCTTTTAAGAATAGAGGCGTAGAGGGATTGGATATCCATGTTGAAAAACCCTTTGCTTTTCAGCAGATCTTTTCATGGAAAGTTCAAAATCATCATATCAATTTCTAATGCATATATTTTACAGCAGACATCACTAGACAGAAATCAAGAGTAGGAATACTTGTTGATTTTTTTTTTTACCAAACCAAAAACATACTGAACCCAATTGCAGTATATTGACCAGATTGAGATCAACTAAAAATCTATTTATCCACTGAACTAGTCAAGGAAGATTTTGAATTTCTGTATTGTAATCCTTTTGTATTTAATTAATTTGCAAATGGTAGATGGGCAAATTAAGAAGACTATTAGATGACATCTGATATGGTGGTTTCTTTGCATTCTTCGAATGTCACACAAACTTCCAAAAGCAAAACTCTCTTCAACTCATACCTCCTTCCTTAAACAAGGAGTATATGGAACTCATTACATTTCCCTTTAGATTTCTGGATTTATGTGTAGTCACCATCATTACTGCTTTTATAGCAATACAAAGACCAGAGGGTTCAGTTGAAATGCTTACAGCATTCGGAACCCTCAGACTACTCCAGTGGCAGACTGTGTTCACTTGTCAGTTCCTTTCCATCAACATTTTACAGACAGTTGCACAATGGAGAAGCAATGGCCATATCCAACTAGTTACATGTGTTTGGCAGATAGCTAGAAACAGACAGCAGTAGTAGCACTTATTGCAAGAACTGCAGCGACATTCACCTTTCCCTTTGCAAATCCTTTGCAAAGACTGAAAATTATGCTAAAAACTAAGCTCCTAAAGTTTTGCATACTGGGAGTGAAAGACAAGTGTAGTCTTCGACTGATGTGGTGTTAGGAGTATGGGTTATAAAGGGACAAAGGCACACAGACATAGTTCAGCTCCTAGTTTTAGTTTGTCAACTTTTATATTTATATACTTTGATATTGTTAATTTAAGAGTTAACTATCAAAATGTATGATTATTTAGAAAACAAGAAGGAGTTAGTTAGAGTGTACAAGTTCTTTTCAAGTTCAAATTAAGAAAATAGATGTAAAATTGAGATGGTGCAACATGATGAGTTTACAAGACATAAGACACAAGATATAGGAGCAGAATTAGGCCATTTTGCCCATCAAGTCTGCTCTGCCATTTGATTATAGCTGATATGTTTCTCAACCCCTCCTCCCCATAACTCTTGATCACCTCACTAATCAAGAACCTAGCTATCTCTATTTCAAATACACTCATTGACTTTGCTTCCACAGCCTCCTGCAGCAAAAAGTCTTTTCCCATTTAGAAAATATTACGCACCTCTGTTCTTCCTACCAAAGAGCATAACTCCACACTTCCCCACACTGCATTCCATCTGCCACTTCTTTGCCCACTCTCCTAGTCTGTCCAAACAAGCACCAATATTGGGAGCAAAGAACACAGCTACAGTTAAAAGCAAACACTGAAATAGGAAATAGGAAAACAAACAGAAGAGAAATATTTAGAAACTGCAATTTTGGAATAACGTTCCAGCATCACAAGAAATAACAAGTTATAGAATACAAATAGGACAATGGATGAAGAGGATTTAAAATACAGAAACAGTAAAAGAGAATATTGTAAGACTTTAGCCCCACTCATCATGCACATTAACACAGCAAATAGAGCCGCACTCAAAATACATGAGGATGGTGGATGAATCCAACTTCAAAAGTCCCCAACACATCCAGGAAAATTCCCAGTGGGAGGGCGATCAAAGAAATGTCTGCCCATAATTCAAATGGGAGATTAAGCTTTACATAGAAAAGTACAAGACAATGCATTCTGCTAGAAAAAAACTGGAGAAATAAAATAATTTAAATAGCTTTTAAGGGGTGTCAGTTACAAACATCAAATTTATGGACACAAATTTTTGAAGCATGCAGGATGACCTGAGAAGAACGTTAAAAACCATGGGATTCTTGGCTTTACTATTACAGAAATTGAGTACAAGTGCAAGGACGTTATGATGAACCTTTATGAAACATTGGTTAAGCTTCAGTGGGAGTACTGCGTTCAATCCTGGGCATCATACCTTAAGAAGATTGGCAGAGCCCCAAAGTGAATATTACTGGAAAACCGTGAACAGTTTTCAATTCCTTATCTAACAAAAGATATACTGACACTAGAGGCAGATCAGATAAAGTTCAATCAGCTGATACCAGGTACAGACGGCATGTCTTACAAAGAGAGATTGAGTAGGTTGGTCTGAATTAATTGGAATTTAGAAATGACCTTATTGAAACATACAAGGTCCTTAAGTGGACTTGAAAGGTTAGATGCAGAATGGCTATTTTCCCTTGTGAGAGAATCTAGGACAGATTGCATAATTAGAACAAGAGTTCACACATTTGTGACAGAGATAACGAAGAATCTCTTCTCTCAGAAGGTAATGAACCCATGTAATTGTTTGCTGCAGAGGACTGTCAGGGCTGGGTCATTAAGTACATTCAAGATTGAGATGGACAGATTTTCACTCAAAAAGGGAATCAAGGGTTGTAGGGAGAAGTGCTGCAGTTGAGGATTAACAGATCAGCCATGGTCTTATTGAATGGTGGAGCAGACTCAATGGTCTGAATTGCCTACTTTTGCTCCTATGTCTTCTGGTCTTTCTAGAATGCCACAGGAATGATACAGCCCAGTTACAAAATGAGACGAGAGAAACTGGTTTGTTGTGATGGAGGTGCTCAAAATTATGAATGGCTTCAACAGAGAAAATAAAGATAATTATTTCTAGTGCAGAAAGTTCAGTAACTAAATTACACAGATTTAAGATGATGGCAAAAGAGTTAGAAATGACATGAGGAAATGTTCCATATGTAGTGTGTTGTGACCTGGAAATGCACTAACTTACTTAATGTTGGAAGTAACTGATAACTTCCAAAAGAAAACCGGACAACTACTTGGAATGAACATTACTGGCAAAACAGCAGAAGGGTGGGACTTGCTAGGTGGCTCAACTTATGACCCAGCACAGCACAACAGGTGAAATGATTTCTTTCTGTACTTAATCATTCCCTGTTTCTCAATATGACAACTCAGAGATCATATAATAATTACGAAGATCAGAAACAAAATCGATAATAGTAGACAAAGTCTCCAAATGAAGATGTAATGCTAGCAAGAAGTGCAGAATACCACATTTGAATGAGAAATTGGGGACTCGGTATGCTTTACTGAAGAAGAGTCGCACTGAAAAATTCTACTCTGATGGTTATTTCTTAAATTACACATGAGGAAACATACACTTATACCTCAAGGAACTTTCAGCTGATAAAAGAAAGAGGTAATTAAAATGGGCAGCAGGAAGGTGAGGTGTAAAAGGTGAGTGAAAAACTATTATATTGTTCATCAATAAACCAAATTATTTAAAAAATTAAAACTTACAAGATGCATTGATTTTCAAAAGCAAATTTTAATAGTTAAAATTATTTATCAGAACAAAATTCCTTCACAGGAATCAGTGTGTCACATTTACACAAATCTAATAATAAATATAGACACAGGAAATTATATTCTGAATTGGTGAGGGGGGCAACAGGAAGTAACTCAGACAGTAACTATGACTGACACAGATAGGTCTCAAGTCAAATCATTGTGTTAGAACAAGGATTGAACTTGACATGTTTAGATAAAGTGGACAAATAAAGTGGACAGCTGCTGATACTATCAGCACCAGGGAATACTGACTAATGATTATAGGTAAGAGGAAATGCAAGGGAGAACTTTTTAAAACAATTCAGAGAGCAGCAAGGACCTGGAATTAGCACCAGAAGGGTGCGGAAGTGAATCTGATTAAAGAAAATTGAATGTGCAGAATGATACAGCTAAGAAACGGGGTTGTTGGTTTGATCTACAAAGAGCTGACATGGACTAAACAGGTCAAATTTGCATCCTCCTTTGCCATAAGACTGACTTCAAATTGGACTATTACTGCGCAAAGTAAATTTAGTCGGCGGAATATTAAAAACAAATGCTGAAAATACGCAACAGATCAGGCGGCATCTATAGAGTGAAACAGTGCAAAGGTCGACAGTTTCTGTCGACAGATACCACCTAACTTGTTCAGTATTTCTAGCAGGTGTTTTTTTTGCCAGATTTCCAATATTGACAGCATTTTGCTTATGTAAATCCAACACTGGGTTTGGATCTCAGCATATTTACAAATACAGTAATAGATTTGCCAAATGAGGTCCACCGGGTGCTAGAACATCTCCCGTGCTGTGCCTCCTTCCTAAACTGTAGCTATTTTTATTGGTTGAAAGCAGGTCTCCGGTTCAAGGGCAGGGTCACAAGAGCACCGCCCCCCCCACCCTGTAAGCTGAGCCCACGATGAGGAAGGGGCGGGGGGTGGATTCCTCTGTCATTGAGCCTTACCTGGCCTCAGAGGCTGAGTCTGCATTTGGAGTCTGATCTTGACCAAATCCACTGGGGCACCAATGCCCACGGTGACAAGACCCACCACGGCGCTCGCAGCCGCCACGTCCGAGAGAGCGGGACTTTGGCGGAGGTCATCCCCGTACCGATAGCGACAGATGAACCTCTGAGCATTCCCGTACACACCGAGCGCCACCGAGTTGTAGACGGCGATGCTCGCTAACGGAAAGGACAGCCCTTTGAAAAAGCCGGCCACCTGGAAGTGGATTCAATCACAATCAGCGACAATCCGCACCTTCATTTACCGCGTTTTACTCCCGGGGGCAGACGGAATATTAATGAAGTGGACAGCAACAAGCAAGACTCACGTGTTCGTTTCTAAAGATTGTTCGCACACATTGCACTGTGTTGGTGTAACCCTGACCGGCTTGCAAGCGAGTCTGTAAAAAGCAATTAAACTCTGAAAAGTCAGGCACACACTCGTTTCGGCGACTTCAGCCGCGACATACAGAATTTTACATCAACAAGAGTTTCCCAATCTAACCGTGACAGGAATTGGAAGTGGAAATTTACCTTCACCGTGTCCAGGGGGTGGCCTACGATCACACTAGCCGCACCTACCATGAGGGGGGAAAAAAATGGGGTTGTGTTACAATAACAGCGGAATGCACTTCCGAGATTTAACCCTGCAAGGGCCATGGTGAGTAACTGTGCAAAACGATCTGAATCGCTGTGAAATACCATGGACACCTACGACTAAGTAAACCGCCACATCGCAGAACAGGAATAACAAATAAAAACAAATATGCTGGACAGACTCAGCAGGTCTCCTGGTTTCCAAAGAAATCACCATCGGACTCGAAACGTTGAAAAATAAAGCGTTTCCCTCTCCACATTGGCAGCCAGACCTGCTGAGTCTCTTCAGCACTTTGTGCTGTTCTTCCAGCATCCGTAGTATTTTGCTTTTACTTCGGACAGAGCCAGGATCTGTGGTGATTGTGAAGATTGAGGAATAAAGCTCTCCAGCAGTTTAACTGGACCCTCCGAGCCGCCACCGAGTCACACCGTCGGTGAACAAGCAACGCAGTAAATCAAAGAAAGACCCAGCACCAATACGAATTCTTTCTCTTAAATTAAATTATTATCCTTTTAAACTTCAGTTTATGAAGAATGTGAAATGTCACATCAGCTTGTTGAACAATGGAAGTCGTTTCAAAGTAAATTAACTTGTAACCAAGGTGATTAAAAGTTTCAACTGATGGTGATTTTCACATTGTATAATAAAACCTACCTCCGAACCAGCCGGCGATAAAATCGTCTAGTTGAACGTTAGTCCCCATTTAAACGGTAAACTGTAAGTTCTGGACTCGGTTAACACTCTGGCCTCTTGGCAACATGAGGGAAGTTGGCGGAAGCGAGTGGCTTTCTGCGTCTCCGTGACTCCTCCTCCACCGACTCGGGAATAACACTAACAGCAGCATTGCCAGCCTCGGATGGACAGGAGTGTGGGCAGGCGAGAGGCGTTCGAAAGGGCTCAAACTCCGACAACCAATTGGAACTGCTGCTGGAATCTGCAGCACCCCCTCCGCTGCTTCAGATATTTGAGAAATGCAAATTGCATTCCGTTCACGGGCATCTGAGGTTGTTCCTTTCAGTTTTGCAAAGCCATAGCTCTTTAATTCCACACCCCTCCCAACATACTGAATTGTAGTTTCTACGGTTACCTGGGCAATGCCTAGGGAGTCGGTGATGAAGTAAGCGAGGAGGGCTTACAGTAAATAGATACCCCGATGCTTAAGCGACTGGCTTCCTCGGAGCTTATGAACGATGTTGGAGTCCGCTACTATTTGTGAATGTAGTTGCCCCGCCCACAGCCTTTTCACAAGAAGAGGTTCGTATTTCGTCGGTTTAGCGGTTAAAAATACTGGGGGAAAAACACAGAAGGTGCAATATTGACCTTTATGAAGAGAGTCTGGAACTAAACAAAGAGTTAATATGTTTTTCATGACGCTATCCAGGAATCTCCATTTTTAAAAACAACTTCATAAAAATATGCTATGGCATGATAGCCTCCATTGAAAGTGTTCTTATTCAACTCCAGTTGGTGTACTAAAATGATGAGATTGTTGGAAAGCTGTCATTAAGATGGTATTAGTGAACAGGCCTTTCTGTGGATTGCAGCCTTGCTGTTGTGCAAAGGCTAGGATTCTCCATTGCTCCCGAGAGCAATGCCGTCAGGAGTTCTCAGCTCCCGGCAGGGCCACCCATGATGGAACCGGATAAAGTGCAATCCAAAACAAGTCCTCAGCAGTGATCCAGGCAGAAGATATTCATGTAGTATCACCAGCTGTGACAGCGGATGAAAGCAGCAGTGAGGAAACCCCAGTCGCTGAGGTTTCCTTGCCACTGAACTGCTGATGTGCAACAGCATTCCCAAAAAAGATGTCCTGCACAAATTGCCTACATTAAGGATTCAACACGCCACCCCGCCCCATCTCCTCTCTCTGCTCCCATTCAACAAACAACCCACACCCTCAACACACACACACACACAGAGCACAAGCCCTGCAGTTACCTAACCCTAACCCTAACCCTGCAGTGTTTGCCCATGAATGACAGGGAAAGGATTGTGAGATCTGGAAGTTCCTAGCTTCAGACTAGCGTGTAGCTGATGGAGTTTGACTTGGAATAAGAATGGGAGAGTGTTTCAGTAGCTTTCTTCAACACAGCAGCCCTCTTTGCGATCCACACTCTTCACCCCACATGGGGAAGGGTCAAGAAAGGATGCCCTAAAAATAGTCAGCTCCATCACCAACTTGCCTGGAAAACCACATCCAGCGGGTTCATCTAAAAACCAAGGTCAAATTCAATCTCAGAACCTGGAATGTTATCGTGAATGATTGTGAAAATCTGGGATAAAGAAGAAATCAAGGCCGATCTGAGGGTTGCTGCTCTTGGCACTGTCTTCAAGAAAGAAAACAATGCAGACTGTGGGAATTGCTGAGAAATCTCCTTACTTTTAATCACAGAAAAGATCATCACTCAAATCCTCACTAAGTACCTTTTTCCAGTGTCTTAGGAAATCCTTCCTGAAAACCAGTGTGGCTTCCAACCAAACTAAGGAACTATGGATGTGATTTTTACTGCTTGGTAACTCCACGAGAAATGTCAGGAACAACACTAATCCAGTCTCCATGGCCTTCATTGATCTGACCAATTTGACTCAGTTAATCAAGAAGTGTGATGGAAGACTCTGTCAAAGGCTGGCTGCCCATTGAAATTAATTAACTTCCTCTGTCTCCTCTACTAGAAGATGTCAGTGATGGGTATGACAGAATCCTTTGAGATCAAAGCAGAAGTCAAGCTGGGATGTGTCATTGCCCCCAGCCTTTTGTCAGTCTTCATCACCACCATTCTTCATTTTGTCAAGAACAAACCTTCCAGTAGTGTGGTCCTTAACAATAGGATAGATGGAAAACTTTTCAACTCAACCAGTTGAAATCCAGGAAGGAAAGGATGCTGACCTCACTGGTGGAACTTCAGTATGGGGAAACAATGTCATTATTGCCCTTTTGAAAGAGAATCTTCAAGCCTCACTTAATGCCTTCATGGAAGCATATCAAAGAATTGGTCTCAGCCTCGACCTCAAGAAGACTCAAATCCTTTACCAATCTATCCCTCCCTTAACACCAATGAAGAATTCATCAGAAATATGGAACATTTCCCTTACCTGCAAAGCTACCTCCATCTAAGGCTGTTATTGATGCAGAGATTCAACATTGCATCCAACCTGTGAGCTCTGCCTTTGAAAGCCTGAGAATGAGCATTTTCAATGACTGTTGATACCAAGATCCTTGTGAATAAGGCAGTCACCCTTCCAACACTTCTACATAGTTCCAAAACTTGAACTATGTATAGATGCCACTCATGAAGTACCATCAAGTTTGTTTGAGACAGATTCTCCGTATCAGGTGGGAGGATAGGTGTACTAACATCAGCATCCTTAAAGCAGCTAAAAGCACCAGCATGGAGGCCATGATCATCTGAAACCAACTCCACTAGGCTGGTCAAGTGTTTAGGATGCCTGACTCCTGACTACCAAAGCAAATCTTTTTCGCTCAACCGAAGGAAGACACTCGAACAAAAGGAGATCAAAGACCGTGTTTGATTGATTGATTTATTGTTGTCTCATATACCAAGATACAGTGAAAAGTGTTGTTTTATGTGCTGTACAGGCCGATCATACCATACAAAGTGTATTCAGTGACTCCCTGCAGGCTTCCTTCAAGAAATACAATACAGCTGTCAATGCATGGGAGACCCACATTCAGAAGAAAATCCTATTGGCGGGGACACACTTTTTTGAGCTCCTCCAGTTTCTGGGTGGCGTCATTGTGACACTGGAGGAGGTCTAGGATGGACATGTCATCCAGGGAGTGGGAGGGGAAGTTGAAGTGGTTCGCGACTGGGAGGTGTTGTCGTTTGTTGCGAATCGAGAGTAGGTGCTCTACAAAGCGGTCTCCGAGCCTCTGCTTGGTCTCACCGATGTAGAGGAGGCCACGTCAGGAACAGCGGATACAATAGACCACATTAGCAGATGTGCAGGTGAACATTTGTCTGATGTGGAAGGTTTATTTGGGGCCACCCGGAAACTGGAGGAGCAGCACCTCATATTCCACCTTGGAAGCCTACAACCCAATGGTCTCAATGTGCACTTTACTAGCTTCAAAATCTCCCCACCCCCAGCATCGTCCCAATACCAACCCTCCCTCTCATCTCCACCTCCTTGACCTGTCCATCTTCTCTCCCACCTATCTGCTCCTCCCACCTCACTGACCAATCCCCACCACTACCTACCTGCTATCACCATCACACCTATCTTCCCCAGCCCAACCCCCCCCCATTTATTTCAGAGCCCACTTCCCCTCCCCCATTTCTGAAGAAGGGTCCCGACCCAAAACATCAGCTTTCCTGCTCCTCTGATGTTGTCTGGCCTGCTGTGTTCCTCCAGCTCCACACTGTGTTATCACATAGAACACATGACTTATAACACTAAATTTACATAGACGGACATTCACACTTGTTAGCAAGTGATTGCCAATGATGAATCTACAGAGTATTTCCGAAAGTGACATCTGATAATACTTTCAAAACACCAATGTACCCACCCCCACGCCCACCCGTTCAGTTAGTGGGTGTCAGATTTGATCTCTCTTCAACTTGTATTGCTTCATTCTTAATAGTTTGCACCTACGTGGCTCGCAGAGCACAAAATAACCACATAGTTCTGTAATAGGTGAGTAATGGCCGAGTGGTGTTATTGCTGGACTACTAATCTAGACAACTAGTGCTTCTAGATTCAAATACTGTCATGGCAGATGATGGAATTTGATTTCAACAAAAATCTGGAATTAAGACTCTCATAGTAATCTCAGAGCCATTGGATCATGAATGCCCTTTTAGGGAAGGAAATTTTCCAGCCAATTTATGACTCCAGACCCACATCAATTAGATTGCGCAATGAAAGCTGGCCTAGCCAGCAATGCCCACAGCTTGTGAATGATTTTTTTAAAATTAAAAGATAGCATTCCAAGCCAAGAAATAGCTATGAGAAGCAAAGGTCACAAACTGGATCCAGTGCGGGTTTTAGAGAGGGTGGTAACAAGGGAAAGAGTTTACTAAGGGAATTCTAGATCATGGAGCTCAGCCAGCTTTAGGCCCACTTACTGTGGAATGAAAGGACAGAAAAATGCATAAGATATTATAATTAGAGGAAGTCGGAATTTGACAGTGTGGTGTTGCTGGTTGTTACAGTTATAGAGTTAGGGAACAGTTATCAACCTGTTCAAACATGATAAAAAGCATATCTGGGGCAAATGGGACTTAAATCCTTCTGGTCCAGAGGTAAGGACACTACCACTGCACAAGAGCTCCATAAGTGAGCATTGTATCTTTAGTTTGGCTGTGGAAAAGAACAAAGAACAATCCAAAGACATTACAGAGGGAAAGCAAACTTCATGCTGATGTTTCAGTTGCTATGCCAACTGAGCAAAAATGTGTACATGTTTGAAGTTCTGATTAATGGTAGCCAATACTAATTGGGGATAGGTTAGAGCATATTTAAAATAACCATTTGATATGGGTCTTGTGTTGGTCAGCGTTCAAGTCCCAGCTGCTGTGAAGGCATGACTTAGCAGGATTATTAAAATGTTATTGATGCCAGTTTCCACCCAGTTGACGTTACTCTCTGGAAAGGAGAAATAGCCTAGAATTCTATTGTACATACAATTATAAATAAAGCAATGTGGAAGAAAGACTTGTTTTTACTTTTTCCTTTGCCAGATGGATGTTTACCAGATTTGCTCTGAGGTAAGAATGGATCAGGGCTAAATAATTGGAATTAAAGTTTGGTAGGAATAATGGGCTACTTTCAAAGAAGTGAAATTTTGGATACCGTTAAAGAATATGCCAATGCAACGGAAAGACAG